ACGTAGTCGTGTGCGTGTAGTCGTGTGCGCGTAGTCGCGTGTGCGTGTAGTCGTGTGCGTGTAGTCGTGTGCGTGTAGTCGTGTGCGTGTAGTCGCGTGTACGTAGTCGTGTGCGCGTAGCGTGTGCGTGTAGTCGCGTGCGCGTAGTCGTGTGCGCGTAGTCGTGTGCGCGTATAGCCGCAGGAGTGTAGCATGCTGAAAATTTACTGCTGAGTTAATATAAATATCTTATCTCCAATAATCTACCAAGAATCGTCCAGAATTATTCAGGTAAACTATCAATTTGCAGCTCATCCGCACTTCGCCGTTTCGTCGACGCATTTGCTCCGCGGCCGTGGCGGTTATTAGGGTTACGCTGCAAAATTCTTCCGCGACGCGTTATAATAACGAAACATCGAACCCGTCAAATGGCCGCCGACTTGCCGCGCTGGTATTCACCCGACAGCCTACGACTTCGTATGTCAAGTGACCGAGATTTATAGCAACGCCGCATAGTTACGGCTCATTGAGACGACACAATGGATTATGCCGGCAACATTTTAACGCGTCAAACAATTTTCACAGATCGCTGGACCCGCCTTGGCAGAACCGAGACGCAATTAGTGGCTAGAGATGTAATTGCAGATACAAGGTACATCGCGCGGAATGATAAACTGGATGATAGGTGTCTGGTATCGGACGCGATGCGTGTAAGCCGGTGCTCTCATGCACATCAGGCTTGTGTGACCACATTTCAGACTTCGGCAACTCGATACACGCAAACTTAACGTGTTAACACGTTAGCCGTGATTCGAACGCTAAACATTGTACGTTTCGCTACGTTTTATGGCGGCCATTAGAGTAGTGTGCGCGCGCATGCGCAATTTTCGTAATCACCTAAGCCGCGACGATTATATTGCAACGTATTAGAGTTATGGCGCTCGCGTATTTACGAGGTGCCCACATACATCAACGGTCGTATAGTGGAATGAATGGAATGACGCCATTCTAAACCGATTGTAGAACAAAATCCGCCAAAACTAACCTTTGTTTTCGCCCACCGCCTCCTCATCCTCCTCCTCCTCCTCTTCCTCCTCCCTCCGCTCGTCTACGCTTATCTCCTGATTTTCGCCCACCACCTCTTCCTCCTCCTCTTCTTCGTCCTCGCTGTGCTCGTCTGTCGGCGCATCCTTGCTCATGAATTTCGTGTCCTTCTTCAGCCTGCGTCGCGCGTTCGCGAACCACGTCGACACTTGCGTCAGCGTCATTCTCGAGATGACGGCCAGCATGATCTTTTCTCCCTTCGTCGGATACGGATTCTTGATGTGTTCTCGCATCCACGCCTTCAGAGCGCCCGACGCTTCCCGTGTAACGTTCTTTCTCCTGATGCCGTTACTGTAAACACATACAACACAAAATACACAACAACATACAACAACAACACATGCAACACAACGACTGATCTGTAGCGAAACTCTAGTAGCATGAACTGCACGCGACGACCGCGTCTGTTTTGCGCATGCATGTTGATTATTGCTAGTTTTTGTTCGCGTCTATATTTATTCATAATTTTATTTATGCGTTTATTGCATGCATTTAGTACCCGTAAACCGTTACGATTTATTCGGCACATTTGTTTTTACTGTTTGATTAAAGACCATATATTATGAAATTTGAAAAAATTAAATGGTCCGCTGCAAATATAGACTTCCGCTGCTAGAGTTAAAATGTTCGATATGTTTCTGAAGATATTTCGCCTTCTCGTTGAGATAAATTTCACATAAACGTGTTTTACTTTTACACGTTTATTTTTCGCTATTTATTTTCTCCATTTATTTTTCGCACTATTGCATCCCATTTTCTTGCGTTAGAAATGTACGTACCTGTCATAGTAATACCCGTTTAGTTCGTATGGATGCGAAACTAAATGAGGTTGTCCTAGCCGCCAGGCCGTGTCGTTGCTGCCATTCTGTAATTTAAAAATCAATGGGCAATCGGCATTAGCGCCTCAGTTTCCACTGAAACCATTCCGCGTTAGATCCCGACTGTGATAGCGTTGTTGAGAATAGCATACAAAAAAAGTTCCGCTATGCCGTCGGTCGGATATTTTTACGTCACTCCAACTTCGCATGCCCTCACCAATAAACTTTATGCATTGTTTCTAATGGGTCGCGCGCACATATATATCGCGCGGGATCGGTTTCATATGACCAAATTTTCGAATGCAGTTTTATTATTTGCGAGTGTTTTGGCTGGGCGGCGGGGAGGCGGGTGGGTGTACGAGTCGATCAGTAGGCCTAGCGATATGTTTTCACCTCGCCGAGTCGCGAACGACTTTCGCTCGGCCGCGCACACTACTAAATACATCTTCATTACAAACAGCTGCCGTGCTGCTGTCATCGTTTTGTCTTCGCCGTCTGAGAACTGTCGACACGCAGCATGCGCGTTTTTCGCCCGCTGCCTCCTCATCGGCGCGAGCGCAAAAACGCACGTGCTACTTTATGGACGAAACGGAATCCGGATTGTTGCGAAAATACGGCATCAGTTCGGCTCGTATCGCTTACTCGCTCCGCGACCGGCTCCGACAGATGTCCGATTATTTGAGAGCGGGGCGGTAGTTGTAACGTTGCACGCGGGAAGCATCGGCGGCATTTCGGCGGATGCCATAACGCGGCGGTTTTTGCTCGTGAAGCGGCAAGGCCAGAGACGAGCATCGTCTAAGACTAAGCGTTTCGCCACCACCTCTCATGTGAAACATCGCACGTACGACCTAGCCTGCCGACCGCGTCGTCAGTGCAGCTTTTTTCTTCGACGACGTCGTCGTTTTTTTTCTGTGATTTGATTTGAGGATTTGTCAAATATATCATCTCGCTGGTTTGTCCAGACGAGAGACATTTCCGGTGCGGGTGGTGCACGAACTTTCTGTACGCGTATATCGCTAAACATGGGATCAATTTGGGATAATGAGTAGAATGACGTTACCCAGATAGAAAATCGAATCTCAATTTCAGTTTGATTTAAGTCAAAACAGAAACCTTCTTTCATGGATGCGCGTTTAACATTTATTATCGTTTCTGCGTAAAGTATTTGTCGCTTTAGATAGTGTTTTCGATATATTGCCTATTTACGGCATTAATAATAATAAGAGAGAGAGAGAGAGAGAGAGAGGCGGAGAGACAGAGAGAGAGAGAGAGAGAGAGAGAGAGGCGGAGAGAGAGAGAGAGAGAGAGAGAGAGAGAGAGGCGGAGAGACAGAGAGAGGGGGAGGCGGAAGGAGAGAGATCTCTTCGAAGAGAGAAGAACGAACTCTTAGCACGCATACGGGCGCACCTCCAGACGCTACTACCAACCGCGGATAATTTACGACGGCAGCCGACGCGGGAGACGACGTCGCTGACGGGACCCTGCGACGAGAGGAGCTGTCGTCGACCGCCTCCATCACAGCGACTCTAACAGCGGACAGCTACTGGCGCAATTAGAGCGAATTTACGATGCCTCGCGTTAATTACACACACACACACACGCACGCACACACGCACACGCACACACACACACACACACACACACACACACATACACACACACACACAC